CCCCAAAACCCCAAAACCCCAAAACCCCAATCTTAAGATTTCTAAAATTTATAGTATTAAATTTCAGGATTAAAATATTTCATATTGGAACTTCTCAATCTCAATGAATGATAATCAAATTCAAATAATTGATCAATCAAGATCATAATCATTTCCTGGTTAACACCTTAACTAAGGCATCTAGCTCTTTAGGTCTGTGCTTGCCATCTTTTCCTTCAAGAGCATCGCCCTTATCATTCCTAGTTAACTCAACATCAGTGAGGAAACATTATAATAAACTTATGGATGTTATAGCATATATGCTCATAAAAAGGCTTGATATGATATATGATACTGTATAGACAGCAGCCATTGGAGCAATTGGTGAATTGACTTTGCTATTAATGTCATCCCAAAATTTAAATATCAAATAAGCGATTAGAGTATTTAACATAGAAATGAAAACTTTCCCAAGGAACATAAAGACTCCCCCTAATCCCTCAGTCACGAAAAAGGTAGCTCTATTTTTCATTGCTAGTAAGAACCCATTAATAGCGGATCTACAGAAATTGGTGTTATGTAAAGCTACTTAAACAAATGCGTTTTTATTTAAATATTTGATGAATCTGTGGCAGCATTGTAAGCAGCATCTACAGCAACTCACAAAACATTTAATGCATGCAGTAGGTTCACTTGCTAGTTTTTAACTTTATTCAAGCTTCTTTTGAATATATTCGAAGACTACAATTAAAAACCATACTAATGCAAGCAAAAACGACCCAAAAGCAATACTTCCAAAATTATATCTAAATAGCCATGTATATCCAATCCTAAAAATTGATAAAATGGGAAACTTTTAAATACTTAAGAGATGTTTTGCCTCTAGTCTCCGAAGTGCTACTAAAATACCATACGCATACTACTACAGTGAGAATATATTATGTGCAACTTATAATCATAGCAGCTACCCACAATAATCCAAAGAATTCATAGATTATGAAATACCTAAGTGTTGTATCCCTAATAACTAATGTCAAACTATAAATATTACCAAACTAGGTGCTTATATTAAGTACCATGGGTGGATGCTTGAATTTCACCAGAGCTAAATAGATAAGCTGCTATAACAGCCCATGCTGCAATGAATAAAAGTGTAAAAGCCAACGAGAGATAGGGCACAATAACAACATGAAGATTTTTGCTCACAAAAACTGATGAAGTTTTTAAGACAGCAGTTGCTATCTTGATATTGTTGAATATGCAAAGTATTATAAGTATATATAGTGCACCGATGGCCCATAATACATATGCAGCAATTTTCAGAAAGGATTTAGTTGTACTATGATCACTAATAATGCAAATTATCAATTGTTAGTTGATTACTCATATTTATCCTCTGCGTTCTTGTAAGAAAAGTATCCTAAAGCAATAATACCTGCAAATCCAAGAATTAAAGAGATCCAAGATAAGACTTCTGCAAATTGCCTTAAAAGGAAGGTGTATATAAATCTAAGTAATTTCAAATTGATAAATAATTACGTCGCTATAAAACAAGTAGCAAAAGAAATTACTATTATAGGCCAAGAATGAATAATGTCTTAAATGGACTATCCAATATCATCAATACCAATGTCTCCAATCACATTATTAAAAGCATCTTGATACTATTGTGGCAGCGTTTCATACTTTGGCAAGCAAATCTTATCGAATACTAGTAAAATTATGTAAAGAAAAATTATAAATAAGTCTTACAATTTATTGTGCTGTATGGATATTTTTAGTCATCACAATTCTAGACTTTTATTGTTTTCTTACAATCGATTTTGTCTCCTTTGTTAGGGCATTTTGAAACACAAACCTAGTAAGGCAGCCAATTTATCTCTGTAATATCTTAAAAATAAAGAAGCTTATAGTCCTCATAACCTTTTGTGATTCCGCAAAAATTTCCATCTGCATCCAAAGGCGCAAATAAAGTTTTGGGATCCCCATTCTTAAATCCATAATAAGCAACAACAGCAAAGCCACCCATAAATATCAAGAATATTAAACAGCATAAAAAATCTGTGCAAGACCTGTCTAGTATAGGTCCATTATTTAGTCTATCATCTACCTCATAGTCTTCTCCCTATGAATTTTTGATGGACATGTATTTAAGATTACCTTGTAATTAGGATCAGCTAATTTGTCCCTAATTGATTTATTTGACATTTATTATAATATCCAAAATATCCCCCTTAATTTATTATTTTCCCAAATTTATTAAGCTCAATGGGGTTTTGGGGTTTTGGGGTTTTGGGGTTT